AAACAATAAACTTTTTATAGTTTCCTGGTTCTTGTTAAATGATGATGTCGCTTCGGTTAATTAACAATTATGGCTTAAATTTTGTGCTAGGTCTGTCAGTTAATTGCAAGCAACTCAAATAGTTCGGTGCCTGTCAATTAACTAGTTTACGAATTTACTTTGGTTCTCGATTACTGCACTAGGCGAATCTGTAAGCACACAGATAACTGCAATTAAATAAAGATTGCCCTTTTGCAATACTGCAAAGTTCCTTGTGATCGATTTGTTTCAGTCGTTTGCTGGCGGATTGCAAACTCATTTTGGCTTATTTACAAACGACTCAAGTAGCTTGTTTAGAAGCCTTACGTTTACGATTATAATAATACCACAGTATTTTCAATTAACCTTTGGACGATATTCATTAACACTTACTAGTTAGTTAGTCCTGACCTTTGCTTACTCACTAAAGCAAATATGTTATTAATTGTTGTTAGCACTCACTACTTAATATTTATTGTAGATCGTTACACGGTCTTTTTTGTTCTTATGGTTAAGTAATACCTCAAGAGGTTTGAATTTCCTTCAATGCAAAAATAATCTTCTTTGTAATAATATAATAATAATAGTAATAATAAAAATAACATTTTTACATAAATTACTCTTTAATTTTAATTAACAAATTGAAGTCGTGAAACACCTTTGGTGAAGCGAGTGCTTCGGAATTATTTGTTATTACTATATTACCAAGGAGATGGACACTTTTCGGAAATATAGTTCTTTTTCTTTATTTTTTTCTGTAAAAGGTTATCCATTTGGATAGTGAGGAAAGCGGTTAGTGGCTATACGGCTAACGGAAATCTGTCTAGTGAAGGACAGCTAAAGGTTGGGAACTTGGTTACATTCTCGCAATATTAAAGGCCTCATTACTTAGAGATCATGATAAGAAGAATTCAATGAATATGATTTTACTTTTATATATTTGATGGTTTGAAGGTTATATGGGTTTGAATTTTAATTCGTTTCAAGTTGTTTTCAATAATAAATAGGTGTAATACATTTTTTAAGGGCTATATATAAATAGTATAATTAGTTATTTTAGTACTGATTAAGAAGTAAAGGGAAATAAAAAACCATAAATTTTTAGAATAAACATATGAGTGGATTTGACGCGAGAAAGAATGTAGATCGATTAATTTCATCATCATTCTTTGCAGCCAGAATTAAACTGAGTTAAATCGGGTTTTGAAATTTCTTTAAAAGCATTTAAACCCCATTTTTAAAGCATTAATTTCCAAAGAAACTTTGATAACAATAATATTTTTTTAACATTTTGATTGTCAGAAATTTCCATTAAATAAATAATTAACAGTGATCTGCAAACTTCCAAGGAAATTTGTCATTGGTTTGAACACCCAGTAATTATATTGATTGTCTTCTGTGAGGTGAAGAGTAAATCGACCTATTAGGAACTGGCCTAAAGATAACTATGAAAATGGAGGCAATCAAAACAGTAAAAGTGAAGGACAGAAGTTTTCTATCAACAATTATTAGTTATTATAACCGACATTACGGGGGTTGATAATTTATCATACTAATACTTGTTTGTTGCATTAAAATTATAAAGTTTGAATTCAATTCTTGCAAAGAAAATGAACAAGCAATAGCATACAATGGCATAATTGTCTGTGAATTTTTCTCTTCGTACTGTACATTTTCTATAATAACAGAATAAATAATAAATAATATTTGTTTGAGAGTTCGAATAAATGAAATTATTAGTCAAATTATACGTCATGACTATTTACGAAAATTGGAATCTAATACTAACTCAAATAAATTCATTTTTTATAGTCGTATTATGTTTTTGAATTAATATTTTCACAAAACACATTAATTGATTTAACAAGGGCAATAATTTCATTAATAAAAACGTTGGCTATACTAACCCGCCAAAATTTGGTCCATAGTAATTTCATTAACCAAACTCCACTGGTAGAAACAACAACCGTTTTTACAATATTTTTACAATAACTTTATAATATTTCACTGGTGTTTGTAAAACTGTTGCAAAAATATTGTAAAAACGGTTTTTATGTCTTCACTATGTGAAATCTTTGTGAATTCCATTTTTTCTACCAGTAGTTCTTTTGACAATAATTTTGTCGGCCGGAACAACGTTGACAATAAGCACCTTAATAATGATTCCAACGAGCACTGTCATTGGTAATAATTGTATTGGCCAGAACACTGTTATTAGTCCAACTAGCATAATCAATGACAATAGTAATGGTCTCCTTGACCAGAATCCAACTAGAATAATTTTTTCAATAATTTCGTTGATCAAAATATGCAAGAAAATCAACACATGTATGTATATGCATATATAACATTGTAAAAAAAATTTGGTTAACTAGTAAAAATTTTTTTGGTTTTTCTATCGTATTCGTTTCATCAATTTCATCAACTTGCCATATCAGCCGATTTGGTTTTTTGGGCCTTTTTTCAAACCTTATGTCTTATTGTGTCTCGATGTTAAACACGAGTATTTTTAATGTGTAAACCGGTCAGTAGAATGATAATTAACCCTAAAAAAATTTATTTGCTCCGCTAAAAAAAACTAATTTACTATTCAACAGCCCGTCAAACCAATGGCACCACATCAAAACAATGGGTTTTTGCTAGTATAAAGTATTCATAACGTTATGATCATACCGTATTGAATTTTGGGGATCAAACAAAATCAGCGCATATGCATTGAAAAAGATAACTTTGTTATGGTGACACCAGTTCTTCTCATGGTGTTCTATATCTATTTCATGAATAATAATATCTCGATCCAGGCCTACTCTATTCTTCAACATAATTAATTTTTTGTTTCCAATCAAATTCAAATGTAATTCATGATGGTGGTGTGTTGTTAATGAACATTATATTTTTTAAGGCTGGATTTTCTTTCAATGTGAAGTATATCACTTCTGATTAATTTCATTACAAAATTAGTATGGTTGGGCTCGCTCCTATTGCTGCGCCGCGCGCCAAATTTCAAAAATTGCGATTTTGTGATTCGTTCAAAAAATTTTTCAAAAAAGTATTCACGTGACTTTGGTTAAAAAAAACTATTTCCTGTCAAATTTAGATATGATTGACGAGTAGTTAGTCTAAATTTAGTAATGATAAGCTAAAACTAGTCTAAATTTAGTAATGATCCTAGCGCTAAGTTCCTCATGAGCATAGTAAAGTACATGTTTTACAAAAGGATAGAACTCTACAACAAATAAATTTTTTGAGAAAATCTCTCTATTACATTAAAATTAAAGACCTATTCTATCAACTAATAGAGTTATTTTTTTAAAAGGTGGGACAGAAAATGACTTCTATACTTTTAAAATTTGCACAAAATTTAGGAGGTCTTTAGACCAAGCCAACTATATTATAGATTAAAGATGCGATCAAAGACAATTTATTTTTAAGGCAACGTCATATATAATATTTGGATAGAACATTCAGACGCACTAGTTAACTTAGTGTAACTTGAAGATTATATTAAATAACTCAAATAAATGTTTATTAAATTAATAAAAAAATTAATGTATTGTTATGATTATAAGAATCATTCCATAAATATAATTTCAATGACTCTTTTTTTTTTTTTTGTTAGATTTTCCCAAAATATTTGCATGTCCAAAGGGTTAAAGAATATGTACATTATTGTATAATTATTTATGCTGTTACTGTTTTTGCGTCTAATAGTCTCTCAAATTCGATGTAAGAAATATATATATATTGGCATAAGTAATTATACTAGATTGCAATGTTGGAAATGATGATGGATGGAATTTATGATGATGATTTTGGAGGTTGCACCATAAGTGAAGATGCATGCGTGATTTATGAACCTTAATTACAAATAGTTTAAAATATCTTTTTTATTGATAAACCATTTAAAATATTCGTAAACTGACCAACAAATAGCAGTTGATGGCATATGAGACAACACACGTGGTCTTAATCCTCTGAAAAACCCTTTTAGTTCATTTCGTTCATAAATAATTTTAAATGCTCCAAATAATCCATTGCAATTTCTTATTTTTAAATCATTTGTGTTGCCTCGTGTTTGTAATAGAGTTTTTGCGACATCTAAAGGTGTTGTTGCAGCTGCTGCAATTGCCCCTGCCAATCCACCAGCCATAACATGAGTCTTTGGATCATATTGACCACTGGGATTTAACACTTTACGAAAATATTCATATGAACTGAATTGAAAGACTTGAAATGGTATTGTCATTGAAAGTGTTGTTGGGTATGATACATAAAATGCTATTAATCCCTCTCTTGAATAAACTGTCTTAGCACAATCAACTACATTACGGTATACTGATCCATGAACTTGCATTCTTTGTTTAATAACTATAAAGAAAAATATGTTAAAAATATTATCATTTTTAAAAATATATAGTATATAATAATATATTTATTTACCATCAAATGGATTCATCAATGCATCACTTGCTATTGTTGCACATGCACCTGCTGCACCTTGATTTTAAAATAAGAATAAGTATATATATATATTAATACACAAAAAATACAAAAATATATATATAATCAAAATATCTAAAAGCATATCACAAATACCTGCGGCAAATGGATGATGTCCTGGATCTTTTTTATCCGCTACAAATAAATCTTTGCAAACTTCATAAGTACTAAAATATAAAGCATGTGAAGGTCCTGCTCCTAATACCACTGAATTAACCCCACGCCATAGAGTATGTACCCCTTCTGTTGTAGAAATTCGTGAAAATGCATTCAGTACTCCTGTGTAAACAGCTTGTGGTGTTGGATTTATTATTTGCATACGAGTCTATATATGTATGTATATATATGATACGGTAAGATATAGATATAGTTTTGAAGGTAATTATAATGTGTGTATAGCCACTTTACCTTTACACTATCTACAGGGTACATAATTGCGTGTTCACCTATACCTGCTAAGGCTCCTGCGATTAAGTTTGCTGTTAATGGTGAATTTGTGAAGGTCCTGCTCCTAATACCACTGAATTAACCCCACGCCATAGAGTATGTACCCCTTCTGTTGTAGAAATTCGTGAAAATGCATTCAGTACTCCTGTGTAAACAGCTTGTGGTGTTGGATTTATTATTTGCATACGAGTCTATATATGTATGTATATATATGATACGGTAAGATATAGATATAGTTTTGAAGGTAATTATAATGTGTGTATAGCCACTTTACCTTTACACTATCTACAGGGTACATAATTGCGTGTTCACCTATACCTGCTAAGGCTCCTGCGATTAAGTTTGCTGTTAATGGTGAATTTTCTGGTAAAGATTCATAATCATGATCAACAATTTCAGGCATTTTCTTTTATTATATTTTATATATATATAATTTTATATTTTTAATAATAATACAAAAAGGTTAGTAAAGAAAAAAAAAATATTTTTTGGTTTTTTTTTGGTATAAATAAACTACGATCAGATAAGAGTGTCTTTTTTACACAACATATTATAACATAATCAATATAAAATACCAATTATATAATATTATTATTTATCAGATTTTTTTTAAACATATTAATACTAAATATGCATATCGTTCATTTATCAGATTTTAAATAATATGTAATCATTATGCAACTATATAATGGGGACGTGCAGTAACGTTCGTTAAACAAAAGAAATATTTTATGCAGATCTCAACAAAAATAATTTTATATACAAGATTCGAACTCTGCCTCCTCCGTTATTACCAAATAAACATCCATTGATAGAAAAGTGATCTAACCTATATTTTATATTAAAAAATTGGGCTTGATTATCAAAAAATGGTTTAAAATAAGATAAATTAAAAATAGCATCAAATGAAAGCCTGCAACTTGACAAAAAAGAATCTGTATAAAAATCCCTTACATACTTTAATTTTGATCTCCAACTCCCAATGGTGCATTGGGGTGGTCATTCAACTATATATGGTCTCATATGTGGCATGCTGCAACAAAAACCAGTGAACATTGTATTACCAAGAATTACCCAATGTGTTGTGATCATGCATGATATTTGCTTTTTTGCTTAGACACAAATAATATGAAACTAATTTACATTAGATCTACTTTGGAACCCAAAGCCCAAAAATTATATATAGCATCATTAGAAATATTTTGAAGAAAGAACAGGGAAAAAAATTACTTATATTTTAAAATAAATGATACTCAGGCGGTTTTATATGGTTGGAATTTACATGGTAAAATTATTTATATACAAATATTATTATCTAGTATTTGATAACTTTATATTATGTAATTTTAATATAGACTTGAGTTAAATATCTATGCTCTTAAATGGAAAAGAGATGGAATATACTTATTTGGATTAATAGGGTATTCTTCCATCCAAGAATGAATGTGGATATATGGGCATGCTGCAACAAAACCAGACAAAGTGAACATTTGTATTACAAGGATACAAGGATTTCAAGGTTCAAATGAATTTGAAAAGAAATTATTGATCACTAAAATAGAGTTTATGTAAATTTTAATATGTACAAATTATTTTATCTTGTATTTAATTAAACATCTCATCAGAAAAACATCCTGACAGGATGAAAATAAATTGCTAGATTAAGATACTAATATTTATGAAACAATACCAAAAGTAGAAACACCTTCCATAATTGTTATTTGCAGCAATGGTGGTTACTAGCTCAATCATTTATGGTAAGTGTCTTTAACCAAAGGTATGTTTAAAATATCTTAATGTGTATCATTTTATTAATTATAATAAGGCAATCAATTACTATATATAATCTGCAACTAAATATTTCAACAGCTAGGAATTTTCATTGGATTATGTAACATTTCTCTAGTCATTTTTCAGTTTAGGAAATTCTACTTGAGTATTTTCTTGACAATTGAATGGTATTATGTTGCAGATTTTTCAACAATCTCCTAAAAGTAATATATGGGGCATTCTACAACAAAATCAGACAAAGTGAACATTGGTATTAGCAATGATTTCAGGGATCAAAATTAGTAATGTGATTTATTAAAATCTCTCATTTGTTATATTTGTTTTTTTCTTAATATTAAGAGATATATAAAATTACCTCTATATTAAAATAGTTAATATGAAGCTGATTTACATTAGGTCTACTATGGAACCCAAGAATTACTGTACCATTAGAAGTATTTTGAAGAAGGAACAAGGTGAAAAAATTGCTCCTTACATTTTTAAATTAGCAGATACCAAGTCTTTGCAAACATATTTAGACAAAGAAAGGATTACTTATGAAATTTATCAAGAGGAAAGAAAAATAATAAACATTAAGAAAAGAAAGCTGAATGAAAGTGTGCTATTACCCAACAAAAAGCAAAAATCCTTAGAAGAAAAAATAATCTGTATTATTAAATACTGATCTATTTTCTCTTTTTAATTCTTTTAACAAATTATAAACCTAAAAAAGTTATACCTGCTATTCATAATCAAGAGAATTGTTTTTATATTTTTGGCAAAATCTTCAAGCCTTTTCACTGTAGTATCTGAAGTATTATGATACTTTATAACGAGCCCGTCTATAACAAATACTAATACTTTCATCATATTACAGAATTCACCAGCAGTAAATCTTTTTATGTTTTCAAGACCATGCCTAAATATCTTTAACCCGGGAAACCTAGGAATTCCGGCTATAGTATTTTATCAAATTCATCAACAGCCACTTGCCCACTTACATTTTTCAATAGATTCTGTGTATAAGTCACTTGATAATTAAATAATCCCAAGTCACAATGATACATTCTATCAGTTACTACTGTGAGATCAGAATTCCGCGTCTCACACAAATCTATTGATTTGGTTAAAATATTATTTATTTCGTTTTATGGCAGTATCCAATTATTTAATTCTTTGATTACTTTCTTTCACTATAGCGCTCAAGCTATTTAATTATTTACAGGGCAAGTTTCCTTACTTCCCTTCCAGTAACATTTTCTCAGCAGTCCTTTGTTATCTGTCTGAGCCGGCATGTCTCAATGATATTTATAATAGCTTAAGTATCTGCCATGATAATTTATACACTTATTATTATATCTATGGCTCAGTTTCTTAACTGACCTCACCTAGCTAGGATTTCCACTATTTAGGCATTGGCCTAATCTAAATAAAATAAAGAAATAAAATTAAAAGAGAATACACACACACAACTATACTTATCAAAGGTGTCCCCTTGGTAAGATAGTAATTAATTAAGTAATTGAGTTAGAGTGAAAGGTTTATGTGATTTTGGAAGTGGGTGGATTATACCACTGGCAAGAGATTTATTTTAAGAGATATTTTATGTTCATATTCATTATTAAGATATTATTGTTGTTACAAGATAAAAAGTTAAGAATGAACTAACTGAAGATTACATGAAAAGAGAAATTTACAACATATTTATACATGTTAATGGTTCTATCATCTAGTTCTCTGACTTCATTGAAATCCTAATTTATACTAATTAATATATTCCTTAAACATTATTTAAACCTTCTGTGTAGAATTATTTTCAAGTAATTTCT